TCCACACACCCATACTTACCTTATTGAGCCACTCGGCCTTCTCCACATCCGGGAAGGAGACCTGCGGGGGAGCCGGCGTGAGCCTGGGGTGGGGGGGTGCACCCCCAGCCACCACGGACTCCTGGGTTCTCCCCCCCACCCCGGTTCTGGGATCCAGCGGGTCTAGCAAGGAGTCAGACGCCTGGGTTCAATTCACCCTCCGGGGGGTCATGCCTCAGTTTCTCCACTTGTAAAAGCAGGGCACTACCCACGCCGCCTTCGCGGGGCCTCCTGGCTCATCGCTGCCTTTATGTAGCTTGGAGCTAGCTGGGAAATGGGCACAGGCAGCTGCATGCCTCTGGGCAGGGCAAGGCTCCCCAGCAACACTTCCTCATCCAAGGTGGGGGGGGGGGGGGGGGGGGGGGGGGAGCTGATGCCCCCCTTGTGTCCCCCCTGCTCTGTGCCTGTTTTCCCACATAGGGCACACTGGTGGGGTGTGAACACGGGGCAGGACATGGCCCCACAGACACAACATGCATGTGCCCACACGCACAGGGCGTGACATTACCCCGTGGGCTGAGCCCACAAGGGGCCAGGGGGACAAGAAGCAGGTCAGGGCCTCCCTGTGCCTCAGTTTCCCCACTTCCTTGGCACAAGGGTCCAGAGAGCCAAGCCCCCGCCCCCCCCACAGGCCAGCTGCTCCCTGCCCCCCAGGAAAGGCATGTGGGGAATGTGCCTCTTCCCTGCCCACGTCCCTGGTGTCTATGCACATTTGGGGGTCATGTGTGTGCAAGCATGTGCACTGGGCTGGAGTGCACCAGCCTGCCCTGGGGGCTCATGCGCTGGGGGGTGGTCTGTGAAGGATGGGGGGCATCTACCCCTCCCAGGTCTGTGTGCAGAGGCAGCCCCCGAGCTCGCACACGTGTGCACACGTGCACAGGACGTGAGCTCACAGCCGGGGGGGCACAGCCACTCTCTCCATGTATGGCCTGGTGCGGTGCAGGCTGGGCTCTGCCTCCAGGCCCCGCTCCAGGCCTTGGCCTGGCCTGCAGCTGGGCGGGGGGTCTCTATGCACACACGTGCATCAGGAAACACAGCCCTTGCCCACGTGCGTGCAAGCCCAGAGGGTTTAGGAGCCACGCAGCTCCAGGGAGGGGAAGCGGCAGCCGTGTGAAACCACCGAGGAAGTGGTGCGTCTTCCTCCCCACACCACCCCACCCAGTCCCCAATTGCAGCCCTCCCAGGACACACAAGCCCACAGCTGGCGGGAGGGGGGTAGGTGCGTGTGGTGGGAGGGGCACGAGCCCCAGAGCCTGGCTGGG